ACTGATAAAGCCCTTCCTTGTTGTAAGGCTGAAACAGCAGTAAGCTGAGAATGAGCATGTCACACCAATCTCATTGCGACAGAAGGTGCAGCTGAAAAATAGGTACTGCATTTCTACCAAAGGGAAGAGTCACAGTGGGGGCAGAGTATCACCTTTGCTAGGTGACAACCACGCTTCTGCAGAAACAGATGTGATTCATGCCAGCCAAAGAGCTTGGTACAGGTTCAGAAACAGTAGAGACTCAGTGTCTGGAGTAAACAACACAGGAGTTCTGGGTTTTAGGAAGGGTTCTTGGTTCATGGAATCTGCTGCCATATACATTGTGGATGAGTGAATATAAATGATTGGGAAATCTGAACATAAAGTAGTCCCACTTAGCTAGCATGGATATGTGTGATCATAATGCTAAGGCAAAGGTGAACAAGGACAATTTAATCCCTCTGAAAGCTACTACTACTATTACTATGACAACTACTCCTACACCACTAAAAATGCAGTACATTCCCCTTTGTACCATTTTCACAGGCCCAGATACAAACATTTGTCTTCAGTACTCAGAGCTTATTTTTTTTTTTTTTTTGGAAGATGTACTGACTGACTTCTCCTTATACTTGGAGGAATATTACTGTCCTGACTTGTGCTTCTTTGTCTCTAGGATTTAAACAATAAGCCTGTTTTATAGCAACCCAGGCACAATCACCACCACCACCACCAAGTCTTCTTGAATGCAAATTTCATTGTATGTCATGTTGTCAACAGCAACTTCTGAGTGCCAAAGGGCCTCCATTCCTTTCAACACAGGGAGTTAACAGACTCATTTGAATTAACTGTCTGCTCTGCTCCATTTTTAATTAAGCTCCTATTGAGCTTCTGAAATATCATGGATGACTTAGTCCTGCCTTGAGACTAGTCCAGAGAGGCTTCCAGAATCAGCATTTCAGGGTAGGGAATAGTCTACCTTTAGTATCATGAGACCAGAAACCAAATATAGTGATATCAAGGATCAGAAATAGAGCCCTTGAATGTCAAGAAGATACTTTACTCTTTGGTTGTTGGATCTTTGCTAATATGACACTTAAGGAGTTTATCACATAAGGACTTATGTGGTTTCATCCTGAAAATGGTTAAAGCATCTGCATCCCAGAAAAGCATTCAAATGTGTGAATGATTTTCACATGCAGAGCACAACGGCATGTTAAAAGCACATCACTAATGTGAGAAAGTGAGTAGAAAGCACATTTGGTTTTCACACAGATGCAGACAAATCCCATTGGTGGTTTGGAAATAACTTTTTTTGCGTGTGTGCACAGAATTAGTTGCGTTATCAGAAATCACCTAGAGAAATAAACAATTTTATTTACACAATTTTCTTTATAAAAATATACTGTACTGCATTTACTTTCCAAGAAATGGTACTCAACCTGAATAAAAAGAATAGAACATTACCCAAAAGAAGTAGGGAAAGAAAGAGAAAACTTCTCTCTCACTCTCACTGCATCCCTGCCTTCCTCACCAGCTGTTCCTTTCAGAGTCACAACTAATGGGGAAGGCTGGAGGAGGAGGAGAGAGAGAGACATGCGAGTGTGTGTGCCTACTGATCCTTTTAGAGCCCTGGCTGAAGCATAAAAGGCTGTGTCCCTCTTGTCCCTCTCAGAACAACAATACACAGCAAAGCAGCAAAGAGCCATGGGAAATCTGGCAATCAGCACGAAAATGGGGAGAATCCCACAAATAGCTTTCACACTACAGCAATTGTGCAAAGAAAGCAAATTCATTAATGAAATGGAAATGAGAAAACAGTATTTTCTCAAAAATGACTATTCCTTGATTCGTGTCACTTTCTTTTTGGATTCTAAGTGGTCACCATGGGATGTCATGTGAAAACCATTTGTGCAATTTTGCCTAACATGCTGGATAACTGTGGGTTCTGGCCCGTTTAAACTTCCAATTTCCCCTGTGTGATAAACTCCTAAGAGAATGAGCCCTGTATAACTCTTCTTTTACTTGGAGTGGCCTACTCATGTAGAGGGAAATAATTCTCTTAATAGGCAAGTCAGAAAAGCCTTAACTCTTTCTGTATATTACAACACTCTCTTTTACAGGCTGATGAAAAGATATAAATCCTTGACTATTTCATTCTCACATGCAGTAGATTTCTTGCTGTTGTGGAAGAATACCAATATTCCAGCTATCAATATGAAAAGGATTTTAGGATTATTGCTTGATAAGAAGTTGAACATGAGCCAGCAGAGCAATACTGTAGCAAAGAAGGCAAACTGTATTTTAGCCTGCATTAATAGAAGCATAGTTTCTGAGTCAAGGGAAGCTATAGTCCCCACTATATTCTGAGCTACTCAGGCCACATTGAGAATACGGTGTTCATATTGGGTACCTTGGTTTAAGAAGGATATAGACAAGTTGGAGTGAGTTCACAGAAGGGCATGAATATGATAAGAGATACGGAGAACAAAACAAATGAGGAAAGGTTGAACAAGCTGAGCATGTTCAGCTTGGTGAAACGAAAACTGAGGGATGACATGATCACACTCTTTAAATACCTCAAAGTCTGCCACAAAGAGGAGGCTGAAGTCTTGTTCTCTGCTGCCTCAGAACTGGGTCTAATGATTTGAATTTACAGAAGTGTAGATTTTGACTGAACATGAGAAAGAACCTTTTTGACAGTGAGAGCCATTTGCCAATGGAACCAATTGCCTATAAAGATAGTAAGGTCTCCTTCTCTAGATGTCTTCGAAAAGAGGCTGGAGAGCTACCTTCTGAGGATGTTGTAGCTTGCATTAATCTTGCATTAAGCAAAGGGTTGGACGTGATGGTTCATAAACCCTCTTCCAACTTTATGCCTCTATGATTCTATGACATGAAGGAAAAAGTAACAATAAAATATGATGGATACAGTCAGCTTTTCATAAGTAGAAAGATAACACGGTGGAAACTATAATTCCTATATGATGGAGTGTAGCAGAAGAGTTCCACACTTCTGAGGCTAATATGTAGCATGCCAGCATAATAATCAATATGATAAGAAGTCATGCCTTTTAAATCCACAGTATTTCATTGCTAGTCTTAAATCATGAACTCTCTCTCTAGCTTTTAGGAGAGGAATGGGCAACAGATTGAGGGCCACACTGGCACATTTTGGTATGCCCAAAGTAATGCAATGTCACTTCTGGCCACCATTTTGGTGACTTTTTAGCTGATTTTTTTTTAAAAAAAAAACAACAACAATTTCCCCTGTGTTCTGGGAACTTTGGAGGGTTAGGTGAAGCAAACTACTGTGGGTTTTAGCAGATGCTGGCCACTTTTAGGGAGAAAAAAATTGATAGAAAAACCAAATTTTAAAAAAATGGGGAACTGGGAACTTCTGGGGGTCTTCAGGGCTTCACTTAGAGATCAAATGAGCACAATTAGTCCATGTTCCATTCTTTGCCCACCCCTGGTTTAGAATAATCCTAGAATCCTACACAAGACATTTAATTTCCATTCCTTCATTTACTAACTTCTACTTGTATCATACAGTATTCATCAGAAGCCAGGCTATAACTTCTGACAAAAAAAATATTTCAAAAGTCTATCCATTGCAGCATTTAGAACAAAAAATATCATATAATAATCTTTTCTATGATTTCTTTTTCATTTTCCTCCTCCCCCTACCATTTCCTAGTCTATGGGGGGATCATACGGCTCGAAACCCTGCCTGAAGGAATTCACTTTAGCTACCAGGAACTAATACCTTGAACTAGAACAGAAGGATCACATAGAAAAGAAGTAATCCCAAGTGACTAGCACTAGAAAGATAACTGAAAAATATTTCCAATCTGTTAATCCCGTGATAGCTCATGCAAGACAAATCTGGAATGGTGTGATGTTAGTGTGTGTAACACACATGGAAATGCTGGTGGTGCATTACAAACTACTTGAAAATGTTACAAGTAAAGCAGAGAGCAGAAAAGATCTAGCAAAAATTGGCTCCCAAATCCAGAAGCTGACCAGATTCCATACATTGCAATGTAGTACATGTCCAAAGTTTGATGAATGCCAGCATTCACACATGGCAGTGACAATGACAAATAAGTTGTAAAATTTCCAAAAATGCAGAGATATGCCAATGGCTATCTCCATTCATTAGTCTATGTTAGAAAGTATTTATGGACACTCACTGCATTCATCTGCTAAAGTTAAAATAATGAATCAATATAATTATCATTTGTTTGCTGAGATAGGTTAAAACTGGCTGCATCCACGCTGCAGAAATAATCCAGTTTAACTGCCATGGCTCAATGCTATGAAATTCTGGGCATTGTAGTTTGTTGTGGCACCGGAGCTCTCTGACAGACAAGGCTAAATGTCTGACAAAACTGCAATTCCCAGAAACCCATAGCACTGAGCCATGGCAGTTACTACAGTATCAAACTGGATTATTTCTGCAATGTAGATTCAGCCACTGATTATTATTTTTTGTTACTCACCACAAGAAGCAACCTCTATGGCTCCATTTCTACCAAGACCTTGTGTGTAATTGGCTTCACATGCCTTTTGTGAAGAATAAGAACCATCGGTACATGTGTTCGTTTAAATCTGAGAGGCAGCAATTTGATTTTCAAAACAGCCCAAAATTTCATTGGCTTAAGAGAAACCCTTTGACAGGGATATCAACAGGAGCTCACTGAAAAGTCTTCCTGAATTACTACTGATTAACTACACTAGTTTGCTAGTGTGTTATAGGGCCCAATGAAATGTGCTGGTTGGTTTGAGCCTATAAAATCCCAAACCATTTTAATTGAGGTTATCTAAATGACCACTTCTTTTCTAATGGAGTGTAGGAAGCTTCCTCATACCAAGTCAGAACATTGTTCCACTTAGTTTGATACTACAGTGTAACAACAGGGCAATATCTTTCATAGGACTAGCCAATATGTAACAAAATTGTTACAGTTGTTGTAAGCTTTTAAGCTTTTTTGACTTGTTTAATAAGTTTTATAAGAGCCCTGGTGGCACAGTGGTTAAATGCCTATACTGCAGCTACTCACTCACAAACCATAAGATTGTGGGTTCAATACCAGCCAGGGGCTCAAGGTCAACTCAGCCTTGCA